TTTTCAATATAAATTTGGTCAAACTATACATAGTTTGACTTAAGGCAAACCTAATATCCAAATGAAAAATGCAAAAGAAGTACATCACTAGACAACCTTGGACCATGAGATGCATGCTACCATACCGATGTTATATGGATGAAACCCAACTCACGCTTTTAATATCAACACATATGGAGATTGTTTTCTTTTTTACGATGTGAGGGAGGTGCTTTGCCAATTTCTTTGAGATAGGAAAAGGAAAAAAACAATGACCCAATTTATAAGGGAAACTCAGTCGAAAACCAACTGAAACAAGAAAAAAAAAGATTACAAAACAACACAACACAACCCCGGCGTGGATTCCAAGCATTCAACTGCCACTTAACTTGACCTCCATCGGGAGAGAAAGAGAGTGAGATCTCCGGAAACACCACCAAGAAGGGAATTGGTGTCGTCTTCGCCGCAATCGACCCCTGTCGACCACAAAGCTTCCATTTAGACCCGCACATGACTGCCCCACCTAACCTCCAAAAAAATCCAGCCCTACCAACGACCACTACCATTGTCCTCACTTCGATCGGACATGGCCCGATGATGAAAGACACACTCTTCGGTAATGCCTCCCAGGAGGAGAGGGGTGCCCATGAGCGGCCGCATCATTGTCAACAATCCCCATCGAAACCGATTTTTTTGCCCAGAGACTAATGCCTTACCAGTGTTACCACCTTCATAGTCCCTTGGAAGGGAGCCTAACCACTGCAAACTTGCGAAACCAAGCCACGTCTTCGCTCATATTCATCAATGGGAAACATGTCGACGGGTGTAGAAGGATAAACAACCACACCACGCCGTGGAGGAAAGCAAGCACACAACGAAGTAAAGAACATACCTGGTTGCTGCCTGGTCCACGCGGGTAATGTCTGCCAGAGGCTACCAATGAAATCGAGAGGGAGGAGGTGTTGGCGGATTGCTAGGCGGGGCGGTGAGGTTGTCGCCTGTGTCCCCCTTGGGGGGGGGACTATTAGCTTCGTATTATTTATGTGCAAGAGAAGATGCAATTTGAATATATGATACTCTATTTTGAATGATTTGATTTGTAAGATTCTACCATGAATGGCAAAAAGTGGTAGTTGGCTCATGCTCAATTTGTAATGAACTCGAGGTAGTTTAAAAAAATGATAACATGATTGCTTAAATGACGAGGGAATCGCCTAATATCTGTGTGGTTTCCCATCTGTAACTAGTAATGCGAACGTGCAATCGTTAATATTAGGAAATATATTAATTGCAAACATATATTATGTAGTAGGATATTCTTCGCATGTTAATTGTATGATTATCATCGACTTTGATATTTAATATAATATTAATTGCATGCTAAACATGTTGATCGCTCGCCATTTGATTAATATAGGTCATTGGATCGTCCTAGTTTTATGGCTGAAATTAGTCGGATTTATCCATTTGGGCCTTTTTATATTTGTATATGTATAGATATAAATATATAGATAAAGGTAAAATATAGCGAACTAAGTCTAAATCAGATGATTAGGTTCTTTGTGGAACCAGCCCATCAGGGTTTCGACACTTGACGCTGGTGCTCACATTTTCCCGGATTATTATTTTAGTCTTTTTGACAATGTTCATTCAGTAGGGGATACATTCCCGTCGACTATATGAAAACCTGTGGTGACTTCATCAATCTTCAGATGTTGTGTTGGCTCAGTCTATCGGAAGTGCTCATAAGGGTAGGGTGTGCGTGCGTGCGTTTACATGAACTAGATGATTCCCCGCGCGTTGCTGCGGGAACTATTGCCTAAATAGATAGTTTACTCCGCAAAAACAACTATGCTAAAAGGACCATCACGATAATGAATGAATGATTCTCTGTTGACAACCATACTTCAGAATGATATGCCTGTAGTGGTCCATATGCACTTAGGCAAGATCGACCCTCGTACCATTTATCATTCAAAGTTTGAAGAATAGACGAACAATCAAATTAGATGTATATGGTCATTTACCCGCATACCGAACCTTCAAGCTTCAACTAAAACATCACCATCTAGCTATAACTCGAGTCTTGATTGTGCAAACTCTCCATCAAAACTTCCATGTACATTTACTTTGATCCATCCAACAACAGGGGGTAAACAAATGTTACTAGTCATGACAGAATCGTAAGGTTTATCCTTCTAAACATACCACATCAAATGCGTAGTGAAGTGCACTTCCCAACAACTTTTCAACAGCAGAATTTGTAGTCGACACTTGAGCCAGAGTGAAAAAGAGAGAACATGATTAAAATATTGCATAGTAACTTAGTAACGGTGGATATTTTTCTCTAAAAAGTCAAATTTCTTAGTATGTGTAACTATTTACATACAACATCATTCATCAAAGAACACTTCTGCACGTTTACAAAGTAAATTCAACGGACATCTTCAGCAATGCATGATAGTAAGATATGTGCAAATGTGAACCCAAAAAAGGAATGAAAGAATAGAAGTTGCATCAACAGGATGATAGCATTGTCTTCATGAATGGTCTGGTAACATGGTTAATAAAATTTTATGTTCTGTGCAAACACAATGCACCAGGGAAAATTAGAGCATCAATAGAATGTTTGCAGGCCTTAATTGTTTTGGGATCTCTGGTGTTACCTAAATAGTCATTACACCGGTATCTTTTCTGCCATAGCTGACTGCATTGTAGATGTGTGAATCCCGTTGCCATAATAGTGCTCCTTCTCCTTACCAAGCCGATGCTTCAACCGGCTGTTACTACTGCTAGACACGCGTTCATCGGATGGTGAGAGTACTCCATGAGAATCATAATCAAAATACAAATTAAACAAATGAAATACCAATAGGGAGAAATATACTTTGCAGAAGAATCATAACCCCATACCTTTTTTATTTGTCATCTTGTGAATCAGACAACCGAAATTTTGTGAACTTTAAGTGAGCTTGTGACACCTGCAGGGAACTCTTGAGTGTGACTAAGCAAATAAAATGAGCAAAAGTAGCACATGAGTGTCAAGAAACTTGAATCTTTGTCTTAAGAGGCCATAATTATCATATTTTCAGTTCTCACAAAATAAGTACATGATTTCTGGAACAACGTTCTCAGTTTCAGATATCTGCCCTCGGCCATGCAAATGATGAAACTCCAGAATAATCAATTTTATGCATCCATGGTATATTCTCTTTACTTAAATCTACCTGGAACACTTGTATAGAAGAACTAATTATTGTGGAATTCCAGCGAAGAAAGGAAGCGAGCCATGATGATTACTGGTAAAACATGTATATGACTTGCCTTAGAAACATAAACTTACATATACTTTCAAACCGTTGCACGTGTGGGATGTAATCTTCAGGAAGAAAAGGAAAATTAGAAAATGGTTCAGAGTTAGACACCACTAAGTATTATGTCACTTCAAAATTGATTGATTTACTTCGTTTACCAGGTAGCACATGATGTTTTATAATCTGTCCACCGGAAGCATGAAGAAACGGAAATAGTTGCAAAATTTCAGCAACTTCTTTTTTCTTGCTAGTGGTTTCAGTGACTTCAGTTCCCCTTTTTGTCTGCACGCATAAGATCTCGAGGAAAAATAGATTGAAATACTTACAACGGGTGCCATATGAGAGCACATCGAAGTACAAAAATTCAATGAAATGAATATATTCACAATATTATCAGAATCAGTCAAATCTAGTAGCTGCATAACATTTTAGCACATCAAAAGAGAATGCATAGTACTGAAAAACACCAAAATTATTCTATGAAAATCAATAGTTAAATCACCATAAATATACTACAAGGAGAGCGGGGAGTCAATGGAGGCGATGGTACCCACCTGGAAGTCAGGAATCCACCGCACCGGCAGCAGCGTCTGTCTCTCCGGTGACAACCATGAGACCATGGCCAAGGAAGGAGTAGGAGGGATGTTCTTCAGAAAAAGGCTTTCCTACAACACCCAAATTAGAGCACCCAAACAAAGCTATAAATCAAAATAATTGCTCAGATCGGAGGACATATAAGAGGAAGGAGATCCATCCACCTTTGGTGCAGGCGATGTTGGAGGAGGACGCCGATGGTGGCGCATGTGACTCATCGGGAGCTTTGGTGGACATCGGGGCACGGGGCTTGGTCCAGCGTAGCTTGCGGGGCTCGATTCATCTGCAACAAGAATCAATTTAAGGGCGGTGATCACGTGGACCGATCGGCAACCGCGTGCGGCTCTGCCGGCGACGACCAACGAAGGCTTGTCCGGCAGTGGTACGACGCCATCAGCACCCCTGGCGCTTCTGAAGGCGAGGATCTTCCCGTAGCTGTGCAACGGCTGATGCGGAGATGAATATGGTGATTTGTTTCCTGAGTGGAGCCGTACAAAGGAGAAGAAGATAAAGGGGAAACAACGTTGGTTGTGGGAGAGGATGAGATCTGCGTGGAGGTGGGATAGGATGGATGTGGGCTGTTCTGTTCCAGTGGGCTTTTGTTACGAAGAGGAAACGGCAGGTCGCTTCAGTGACCAAGGCTGGTTGCGTACTAATGAAAATTAAATCCCACTTGTGTAACTAAATGCAACACATGGCATTAGCTAGAAAAAAAAATAGAGTTGCTGATGTGGCAAGGCTGCTGAGGTGGATAGGCTGCATGTCAAGATAAATCAAGTAGTGGGGGTGAACTTCTTAAGTATATAGGATGAGTGTATGTGCATATGTACAAGTGTGCATCCTTGTAGAAAAAGATATAGATAAAATCTCACAACTATCAAAAGATAGCAATACTTTTCGTTCCAGAAAGTAAAGGATAATAACAAGTTAATTCATCGCTAGGAGACCGCAAAATTAGGATTTTCTGACGATTCTGTTCCCTCAAAAAAGAAAGTGACCGCACCCGTCCGTCCACATTCTCCGCCTAACTGAACGGCCGCAGTCCACGACCCTATACGGATGGGAAGCAAGGCAGCGCCGCCGCCGCTGGCTGAACACCACTCGTCGCCTGTCATGGCGGCCTCCGCCACCACCGACGGTCCACCCTTCCCCATCTACATCTCATCCGACGAGGACGAGGACGTAGCAGTCCTTGGCTCCTCCAGCAGCCCCGAGGAGATCCAGATCCAGCAGGCCATCCTCCTCTCCATCGGCCTCTCGCTTGACACGACCGGCATCCCCTCCTCCTCGGCCTCCCTCTCCGGAACCGACGTCGCCATGCGCAAAGGCAAGCGTAAACTACGATCGGAGTCGCCACATGAAGTCATAGATATAGATGATAATGATAGGCAAGAAGTCATCGATGTAGACGACGATGACAGCCTGATCTTCATCAAAGAGACGGGCAGCGGGAAGTCGAGAAAACCACGTAACGGCGGCCTGTTGGAGGTCGGCGAAGGTTCCCACAGCGCCACGATCATGAAAGAGTTCTACTGCACAATCTGCATGGAGACGCTCCCCGGCGTCGAGCGCTTCCCCGTCGCCGGGTGCGCGCACGCCTTCTGCGCGGGCTGCGTGAGGCAGTACATCGCGGCGAGGGTCGAGGAAAACCTGCTGTCCATGGGCTGCCCCGATCCGGGCTGCAATGGCGGCGTGCTGCACCCGGAGGAATGCCGGGACATCGTCCCGCCTCAGCTGTTCCAGCGCTGGGGCGCCGCGCTCTGCGAGCTGGCGCTCGGGGAACTCAAGTTCTACTGCCCCTTCAAGGACTGCTCGGCGCTGCTGATCGACGACGACCCCGGGCCCGGCGACGGCGGCGCGGAGGCGCTCACGAACGTGGAGTGCCCACACTGCAACCGCATGTTCTGCGCGCAGTGCAAGGTGCCGTGGCACGACGGCGTGGACTGCGCCGAGTTCCAGCGGCTCGGGAAGGACGAGCGCGGGCGGGAGGACCTGCTGCTGAGGAAGGTCGCGCAGGAGAGGAGGTGGCAGAGGTGCCCCCGGTGCAAGATGTACGTGGAAAGGGTGGCCGGCTGCCAGCACATGAGCTGCAGGTAAACTACCAACTAACTCTGCCTGAATCTGCAGCGAACACGAAAATTACGTTCATGTGCAACGGAGTACAAACTAGGCCAGTTTCTTGTTTGTGATCTGCAGGTGCGGGCACTCCTTCTGCTACCTTTGCGGCGGCTCCACGAGGAGCGGTGGACATCGTTGCAAAGGCAGGCGTACTGCTTACTGATCTGCATGGTGAATGATCTGAAGATCGATGCTCAAGTCGAACGGGTACTTGAGGGGAAGGAAATTACTACTATCAGTGGTGACCTAGTGAGCAATGCCCCTGCATCTCTGATGCCATTTTGAGAAGTACGCATGATCACCTCTATCGTGGCATGATTGAGACTAGCTTGGGCTTGTCATTTTCTGTAAATTTGTTATGGTTACTTGTGCGAAGGAGCTACTAGAAGGCAGCTCATGTGGTCCTATATCGTGGGAAACACTTGCATTTGGGTCAATGAAATTCCACGCAACCTTCTGGCAGATGTGTTTTCTCTCAATTTAGTTTTGTGTGTGTAAATCTATGAGCTCTCAATGTGCACTATATTGTGTCGACTTCAAAATCATGTGATAAATTTCTAATTGATTTACCTAGTGCCACCCAACGGCTCAACTGCGTAGCATAAACCCAATGGACTAGGTGCAAAACGTGAATACCTTTTTGAATTCCAAATTGCAAAACTAGCTTCCTTTTAAGCAAGTGTTCAAATCGCAGTGGTTTGAGTAGTTGTATTCTTTGCAAGGAGAGCTTTTAAAAAACAGATGTATGCGTGTCACGCATCCATAGAACCATGTGAAGTGGAGGTTTGCTACTCATGTATATGTAACAAACATGATAAAATTGAAAAGACAACGAAACGTCTCTAAGCTTAACACTAAATGTACACTATTCTAGCAATGGGACAACATGTGTACAATACATATGTGTCACTTCAAAAAGTGCAAAAAATCATTGCAATACATACTGTGCACTCTTTCTATGTTCGGGCCTATTTGGTGTTGTGACGTGCCCGTGTTGGCATGCTACACGGTGTCGGGCCGTGCCGCCCATTTGCCAAAATCCCTGGCCCAACATGGCACGGTATCTCGGGTCGTGTTGGTCCAACACACCAACCGTCGGGTTGTGTCGTGCTGAAAGAAATATATCTAGAGGCAATAATAAAATCGTTATTTCATTATTAAGAAAATGCTTATACACAAGACTTTATCAGTAGCATCTGTTTGGGAACCCACGCTACTGGTAAATATCAGTAGCGCTTGGTACAAAATGCGCTGCTGCTATTACTTAGCAGTAGCGTGGGTTTTTTTGACAGCGCTATTAGTAAGTGTGCCACACCACACTTCTAGATTAAGATATAATAACAGCGTGGGTGATCAATCCAGCGCTACCTAAAGACGTAGCTGTAGCGCCTGGTTTGCAAAACGCGCTACTATCACCACGCTACAAAAATATCCACCCAAGATCCAGATCCAGAGCCCTCCACCCCCGGCCTCCCTTCCACCCTCTCTTTCTCTCCCCCGCGACTCCCCTCGCCGCCGCCGTCTCCGGCTCCGGCCGCGATTCCGGCGAGTTCCGGCGGCACGCAGCACACCGCCGAGACCCCCTCGCTCCGGCGCTTCCTCCCATCCGGCAGATTCGCTAGCTCGATCGCAACCCCAGCCTCGTGGCTAGGGTTGGGTTGCGGGCGGGGCCTTCTTCCTCGCCGGCCGGCTCGAGTTGGCCATATCCACGGCGCCGTCCTCCTCCACGACCTCAAGCCCTCAGGATACGTAGGCGCTCGCAGCCATGGAATGGATGGATCCATGGGTACGAATCCCTCCTCTCTCACTTCTCCCTGCCTCCCTCTCTGACCCACCACCGTCTCCATGACCAGGACTAGTCCGACGCCATGGAAGGGAATGAAGGGCCACCAACAGCAGCTCCCTCCGGTCTTCTCCCACCATGGAAGGTATCACCCATGCTTGTCCACGCCATCCATGCCACATTCCAAGCCTTGCTGCAACTTACATCTTCAGACCAGACACAAATTCAAGCTTTTGTTCCTTCTTCGGGAAACTGCACATTCATCTCCAGCTTGTTGATACTAATTAACTCGATAATGTTCCTGTCCTCAGGCATCCATGGAAGCCGCCGCCGCTGCTCCGACTCCGCTGCCAACGCCCCATGGAGACTCTGCTCTGTCTCGTGTCCTGCGTGTCCTGGCCATCAAACCAATTACCCTGAGGTGTTTCTTCTTTTCACTAGTGCAACAATTTGTGTGCGCGTGTGCGTGTGCGTCTACTATGAGTGAGATTTGACAACACAAGATGAGCTCTTGTAGCGACGATTGATTCTCTGATGTTCACACAAGTCCATGCCAATTTTGTCTTGTCTTGATGATTCATTCCAACGCTTTACTTTCGGTTTTTCAACAGGGAAGACATCGATTTGATTTGGGGGGAGGTGACGTACACCAAATAGAAATTCAGAGTTGTAGATGTTCATGAGCTGATGTCATTGCTGACCTTAGTCAATTTTAATTTGATCCCGCGACTAGCAATCCAGTAAAATCCCTTCGTTACAAACTAATTGAAGTTCAGTACAAAAAAATCAATTGAAGTTCTAACGCTGTGCTAAGTCAAACTTCTTCAAGTTTGACCAAGTATATAAAAACTATTTCAACATCTACAACACCAATTTAGTTTCATCATAACATCGTGCTCTCCTCTCCCAACCCACTTGCCGCTGGTGAGTACTATCACACAGAGGAAACTATGTTGCTCTTCTTTTACTTGTTTTTTGAGGAAGCTATAGCCTGCCGCACGTGCATGGTAGATTAGTTCTGCAAGTAGGTAGTATCTTGATTTCCGCTGGACATGTAGCCACGGAGCTGAAAAAATTGCTGCTTTGCGTAGGTTCATGGCCCTGCTATGTGCTTGCTCCTGTCTATGTCCATGAGCAACAGCAAAATCAATCGTTTAGTAGCATATCATTCTTAGACCTTAGTGCTTGTCCTAGAAACTGGATATACTGGACTCCATAGTGCTAGTGCACTTTCATTTTTGTTAAGTTTGTACACCCTGCCCGAGAAAGCAATAGCCGTCACTTAGATTTTTGTTGGGTTCCTTATCTAGGATGAATTGGTTTATTGATGTTTAATGTTCCCCGCTTACAGATTCTCGCTTAGAGATACCAAGCTTGTTCTCCGAGAGTTCGAGAAATGTGGCGTTATATTGAGACATCTCTCTCGACCAAGAGAGGGTAATTGGATAATTAGTAATTCTGAACATCTTTGTAGCTTGCAAAAACCAGATTGCAAGTAATTCTGAGCATCTTTGTAGCTTGCAAGAACATATCCAATTTGATTGATTGTAGGCCCGTATCCAATTGGATTCATTCACAGTTTCTTTGCCTTGAGTTTCAATCAATTGTACTCGTGTAGGTATGTTCATATCATACTTTTGCAATGGATAAAAAATAATCTAAAGGTGAAGTTGTAGTAGTTTGGTCTTGCTTTCTTTTGTTTACATTGGCTAACTTGATATTGTAACAAACAAGAGCAGAAGACACTGATTAATGCTGATGATTTAGTAACTACAATTTTTTGTGTTTTTCTTTGCCTTGTCCCGCCCAGTAATGTATTCTATTTGTCTGCGAAGACTTAACTTGGTGCCAAACATTGCGGCGCCAAGTAAACACATTACCCTGCCTGATGTGGTACTATATATCGCGAATACCCTAACAAGAAATCTGCTAACACAAAAAACTTATGGCAATGCCAGTGATGATGTTTTGAGAATTTATTGACTTGTGATTTACAGAAGAAAAAAATATTCTTTTTCATATGCAAAGTAATTTAGTTCGCATATGCATTTATGTGTTTCTTTTGGACTTCATGTTTTTCTATGCACTTGTAAAATCTATATGCATTCTTATATAACTATTCTCTGCACTTTTCGCAGCTACCGAAACGCCAGAACTGCTCTCTTTGATGGCATTAAAGAAGGTGGAATACGAGTACCAGCTTATTCTTCACATGAGAATGAGTGAGCTATGGATGGATTCCAAGATCGAGTCAACATTCTCAAGAGGGTGAGTGCCACATAATGATTGAATATCCTAATTCTTCATCTTCGTTTTTATGTAAAGAGTTGGTGTTTTCACATATTTATTATGCGTATTTATATTCTCAAAAAAAAGATGGTGTGTGTTTATCTTTTAACTACATCGCTTAGCTAAGATCGTAAGAAGATATTTGTAGTTGTATGCTTTCTAAAAAGGAACATATTTTCCTCACAAAACTAAGAGACGACTAACTTTAGGAATTGCAACTTTATAGATAGTACTTATCTAGATTGGTATCCATGGCAACCATGTGCTTTCTTGGACCATTTAGTTTGAATAGCCAATGAGGAATTAAGCATATATTTCTGGCATGAGCTCTTTTAAATTGCTAGATGAGAAGGAAACTTAACTTAGTGGGTCATGTGAATTGTAATATACTATTTGGTTGAACTGATTATATTTGCATACTAACAAGTTTTCATTTTCCCGGCGTGGACGTAGGGGTGATCGACGCTACCTAGCGCAGCCCGGTGGGCGATGTGCTCTTCAACCCGGTGAAGCTTGGCGGCCACGTCGCACAGACGATCGTCCAGTTGATCGTGACGCCGAAGGTCGCCGAGGTGGAGGACCTCGACGCCACCGTCCGGGGGGAGGGAGGATTCGGGTCCACTGGCGCCTGAACTCCGAGCCTTGGTAGATACATCTAGAGAAGTGGTTTGTTTAGGTTGGTGGTGAACACTAGGGAAGGCACCCACGTTTCGATGATGGTTGTGTGTGTCTGATGTTAAATAGAATCTTGAGAATGTTTTGTGACGTTGGTTTGGTTTTCACTGGACGTATTGCCATCCATGAATACGACATCTAAATTTTTTTAATTCCTAAATTGTTAGTAGTAGCGTGGGAAATAAGTGAGCGCTACTAGTAGTTAGGTTAGTAGTAGCGTGGAAAATAAGTGAGCGCTACTAGTAGTTAGGTTAGTAGTTAGCGCGGGTGCACCAGCGCTACTACTAACTTTTTAGTAGTAGCGCGGGTGCACCTGTGCTACTACTAACCATTTAGTTGTAGTGTGATAGTAGTAGCGTGGGTACCAACGCCCAATGCTACTAGTAGGCAGTTTTCTAGCTCTACTACTAGCCTTT